AAGTGTTAGTTTTGAAGATGATATTGATAATATATTTTGAAAAAAAAATACATGAAATAAATTTCATCAACTTGCGAGATTGGCAAAAAAATATTTATGCATACCCTCAATCAAATACTCAATCTGAACTCGTTTTCTCTACGGTAGGAAACATTATTACAGTAAAAAGGAGTTGTCTATCATCGAATTCAGCTAATTCACTGATATTTTTGTCAGAATCGAACAATGACTAAAAAATATAACAGTTAACTCTTAAATATGATGGCTTAAAAACAATATTTTTTAGTTGTAAATAATCAATAAAATCGTTATCTGCTGTTAAATTATTTATCTATAATCAATAACTTCAATTTAATAACTTATATAATCTTAATTGCCTGATAAATATTTTATTTCTCAACATACGTCAATAGCATATGATTTAATCATAATTCCTAGCTCATAAATGACAAAATATCAATTTCACTGTTTGACCGATTAACCAGTTAACAATCGGTTAACCAGTCACTAATTTAACCGATTAATCGGTTAATGAAGTTAACCGATTAATTTAAATAAGCTATTAGTGGGCTGATGAAGTAATTAACCTGGTTAAACTTTGTGGCTGGTTTAGTCAGCCAAATTGTACAGCACTACTAAAAACATTAAAATAACAATAATTATAATTACGCAATTACTCCGCTGAAAAAAACTCCAAATTTACTTTGTACACGGAGGGCTTTATATCTTCACTCTAGAACTCTGAGTGATGAGAATAAAAATTCACTCCTGATTTTTTAAAGTATGCACATAATAATTTCACATGTGATCGTGACTTTTTATTTCCTCTCCCTTAAATATTTGACCGAATGGATCATCATTTGTAGAGGCGTGGCTTATGACTCGCTTATATTATGAACTTATTAGAAGGGTTAGTCGGGTATCGGTTTCTTAACGGTGCGTTTAGCGCATGAGACTAACGAGCGGTAGGCGATAGGTTCGAATCCCGGGTGTTGCGATTTTCGTCAATTAATTCTTTCTCCGGTATTCTGAAGGACGTTCGGTACCACGTACCTCTCCAGTGGATCTTGTAGATTTTTTATTGTATTTTTGCAAGATGTAACTCCTATATACCAAAATTTTATTAACAATATAATTTATAAATTGATTTATTTTTAAGAATTAATACAAAATATTTTCATTACAATTATAATGAATCTTAAAAAAATTGTTTTTTTCATAAAACAATTTTATTTTTCATGAAATTAATGATTAAAAAATGGACGCGGAAATACGGCAACAGTGCGCTAGTCTTTAGTAATTTTTTTTGTGTACTATTGTTGGTGACAAAGTTTATTACTAGCTCGAGCTTAGGCCCAACTCGAGTGTTGTGTGATAGTGTTCATTGGTGTGTAAGCGCAACGTAAACAGAAAATAATATCAAGTGATTTTTGTTTTTAATAATTATGGAAGAGAGTAATATTAAAAAAAGAAAATATTGGAGAGGTAAATTAGATCATAATGAATGATCAGCGAAAAAAAATTTTAGGCTTATAAATGATAATTAGTCATTCAAATTTCCCGCGGTTGTGTCATTTTACGCTGTTGCTATCTTTCCTTGACTTCGCGACACATATGAAGTCATTAACTAAAATTCGCTTTTTATTATATACTGATAATTAAGTAACAAACTCATTGTTAAACTCAAAATAGAATAATTATATGTTCAGAAAAGTTTAATTATTGGTACTGAATAATTCATAGTGATGATATTATTATTATAGCAAAAACAATAGCACACGGAAAGATTAAAACCCGACTGATTCGTGTTCGCTACACCAGACTCAGTCGTGTGCAAGAAAAATTAGTTTACACCAGACTGAGTCGTGTGTGCACCCAACTGAGTCTGGTGTAAACTAATTTTTCTTGCACACGACTGAGTCTGGTGTAAAACACGAATCAGTCGGGTTTTAATTTTTCCGTGCACTTTCGAAAATTACTCCTATATACGCCCGTGTATAAGAACGAATTTTGAAAACTTATTTCTCAAAAATGGTGTAGTGAATTGATTCGAAAGTTTAAATTTATTTATAAATGTTTCGATAAAAAAAATTTCAAACTTTCGTATTATTTCGAAAATTGGTATTGAATTTCCTTAAGTTGGCGAGTAACATAAATGCAGTTAGTCATAGAATCTAACAGATATTCTGCTACCTCTTTAAGACTCTACCTTCAGGAGTCCCTTGAACTTTAGAATAATAAAAATTTCTTCATTAATATTTTCTATAGTATTTGAGTCAAATTTAATTATTTCATTATATATCTCTAATTATATAATAATTATAATTTCATAAATAATTATCATGATGAGAACAGTGGTATCTTTTCTAACGTATGGATGTGTTTTTAGTAGCTTTATATTTTTAGAATAAATTATTATAATTATTATTAAAAAATAATGAGCCTGAGTGGGATTCGAACCCGCGTCCTCAGATCTGAAATAATATTAATATTATTATTTTTACTATTATTATATTCAATATTATTATTATTATTTTACGTCTGGTTTCGTCGTAAATTCGTTATTAAAAAACATAACTCCTCGAATTATGATTAAACTATAGACGTACGCTCATACAGTACCCAATAGCACCAAGTCTGTTTTCACCGTAGATTTTTCTGGAATTAATTTAAGTCGAGAAAAAATTTGACTAAAACAGAACTTAGATTTTGACTCGGGAGATTTCGGAGGCTCAAAATATCATTTAAAAGCAAAGATTTCAACCTCAATGACGGATAAGTATACGAAGAATATACAACATTATTGGTTAGTATATAAAACAGTAATCAGTATGTGTTGATGATAGTAAAGGCAAGGTGGGTTATATTAGGACAAAAGTAAACGCTGTGCAACGAATGACTGGATGTTGTTTGCACACAACTGAGTACTGTGCAAAGAGTACTCAGTCGTGTGTTGATGTTATCACACGATTGAGATTACTCGGCACAGTATTGAGTTCTTTTCGAACAGTACTTAGTTATGTGCAGATAATAATCAGTCGTTTGCTGCACAGCCCTCACTATTCTTCTAATACACCTAGCCTTTAATGTCATTAATACACTACTGACTACTGTACAAAATAGTAACCAATGATGTTTAATTTTTTCCGTGCAGACATCGACAGCTGCACGGTAAATTTTTTTTTTATTTACTTGAGATCATTCCCGCTACCTTTTCTATACAATTTTCAATGATTATGTCTTGTTTAATAAAAAAAAAAAAAAAAAGTTAGTAATTTATAAATTATTTTTGTAGTAGAAAGCAGAAGATTTTTATGTGAAAACATTTGAAAGTAGTTTTGATTCATTTTAAAAGTTCTGTCGATTCTATTTCAGCTTCTTTATCAATTACAATAAATTAAACAATAAAAATTTTTAGTACATGTGCCCATGTTCATCACCTACACTTTTATAAATTAATATACCATGACATATAAAATGAATCATAACTAAATTATAATTGTTTTCACATAAAAACGTTCTTCTTCCTAAAACTATTTATACATATTCGTAAAGATCCGAATAACATAAAATCAAAATTTAATTTTATCTTGATATAATGAGCAAAAAATTTTGCTTCTATCGTGTGTGGCCTACACGTAAAAATTTTTTAAATGACTCCTGTTGTTAGTTTATAAAACCAAGACAATTGAATAAAAATTAATTTTATTATTTTCGAAAAGAGATTTACTGTGACAGAAACGATAAAAAAGTCAAAATAGTAAAAACAAAACCTTTCATGGCAATTATCGGATATAAAACTATGAAAGCACGATCATTTGTACAAAATCCATTAATTAAGTAATATTTTTTTAAACAGGTATGTTTTATCAAGGTAAAAGCAATATTCAAAATAGCTAACTTACTATTACCCGCAAAAAATAAAAATGTAAAAATTACATTATAAACAGTAATAAGCATCGCTTCGTATAAAAAACTAGAAAAATTGCAGTTTGAAATAACATTTTTATAAATTCAAACTTTGAATGTTAATTTTCAGAGCTTTCAATGTAATATTTGCATTTTACAATGTAATTCTTGCAAAATCTGTAATAATTACAATCTGAAACTGATGTAATTTTTCAGTTTTTTATATGAAGCGCCACGTTACATTATATAATGTAATTTTTTCCTTTTTTTTTTTTCGTGTAGGTGTCGTTTAATTATAATAATGAAAAAATAAATTTGACAAGTCTCATGTATCTATATTAGTAAATTCAAATCAGTTTAATGAGTAACGGAATCATCGGAAAATATTTAAAATAAAAATGACGTAAATTTTACTTTATCCAGTAATAGAGTATATTTTTTATTAAAAATGAAATAAGGATAATGAGTCGTGCACATTTGATTTATCTAAAATTTTTTTTAATTGCTTGCTTGCTGATACAATAATTTGATATTCAACTATTCAATTAATTTGTTTATAAGAACAATAATTAACACTTGAGCACTTGATGATATCGAAATTTATATTGATCAAGGAGAATCAATCTATTTTTCTTCAAACGTATTTTAAATTGTAGGAATGAAAGGCCATCATTATTTATTATATAAAATAAAAATGACCTGACATTCTGGGTCAATATATACATTTATCGGATGTATATATAACATAATATAATAATAAAATTCGAAGTATGAGGTATGAGGAGATCGATGGCGGTTTGGCTCTCTTACAAATCGCGGTCTTTCTACTCCACTGTAGCTATATGTATTATTACTTTTTGATTTTATATTTATGATGATGAGATACCTATTATTGATACGAATAATATTTTATTTCACTGTATTTATACTGTACAAAGTAGTCGACAATTCGTACAATTGAAACGCTGGAAAGGTTGAGTATATCTATTTTTCTCTGTCTTAAAAAAAAAAATTTTTTTTTATTTATTGTCTTCGTTGTTTTTATTATTGTTACTTATCCAATATTATATTTATTAAAAGTATTTTTCCTTATGTCGAGTAGAAACGACGGTAAAAACTTCGACGACGAAACTACCACAGGCCGAGGGACAGTCGGAGATAGAGGAAGCGAAGGAGGTGGAAGAGGACGCCTGACTGCGCCGAGAATGTCATTATTGGGCCGACCGATAAACTACAGGGCGACACGCAGAGACGCCCGGTATCGTAGAATCCAGACCAACTTCTATAATTTTCTTGAGCGGCCTCGAGGCGTTTATGCTATCACTTACCACATGATCGTGTAAGCTTCGTCAAATTTAGTCATTTAGAACGTCTGGCTACCTTTAATTATGATCTCCCCCCCGGGAAAAATATATATGAAACATATATGCATACATATATGAAAACATAAAAGCAAAGATTTAAAATTTATATGCAGCAAATATCTAATTTAAATTTTTTTCACAGAAAACGAATATGAACAGTTTTTTGTATGTTTGCTTATATATTTTCATATATCCGTTTGTATTTGAAAAAAACTTTGAAATTTTCCGAAAAACGGTAAGAAGTAAATTACTTTTTCAAAATAACTTGCTAGTTTTAGTCCGTTTTTGATAACAAAAATTTATATTGCACGCCTCATAAGCGAAGCGTATGAGGTTGTGCTCTACACTCGCTTTACAAAAAAATCAAACGATTTCTTGAATTAAATTTTTTTCATGTATGAAAATATATAGGCGAGCATATACTAAAAAAAAATTAACTTGATTAAAAAAAAAATTCTTAAGGTAGTACCACAAATACCACAAGTGTCAAATTTCCATACAAAGCCTTTTTTAATTTACGTAATTGATTTTCCTATGCAAAATATCATTATAATAGAGAAAGAGAGACAGAGATCATTTTTGAGTTTTTTATTAATTATTACTATCACACCCTTTGAATCTGTACTTTTAATTACGCAAAGTATTCAATATGTTATTTACTTTCATCAATTACTATTTTTATTGAAATCTGAACGTCACTCTTTGTAAAATAAAATAAAAACTGTCATTTCTCATAAGACTTAATGTGTAAAAACTTTAAAAGCTCAATATTTTTACTGGTTTTTTAAGCTCTTCAAAAATTTAGTGGACTTATTATCTTAGCGTGATTTACTAATATGTCAAGTTTCTGAACGGTAAATCTCTAACCGATGATACTAACTTAACTAAGAAAAATTTTCGATTGCTAAGAAAAATTTTTCTATTTGAATCAAGATGATAATAATCTCTTCAAAAAGATTTTCTCGCTTCAACAATGTATCTCCTGAATCAAGTCAACTTTATTTTAGTGTATGAAAATCTCTCATATACGTTTCCGCCGAAAAAAAAAAAATATAAATTAGATATATGTGGCGTATACATTTTTTATATATTTGCTTATATGTTTTCATAGATGTTTGCATGGGTGTTCACATTTATTTTTTCCATGTAGGTTATTATACAGATTAATTATGAAAATATTAATTGTATGTAAAAATTTTAAACTTTTTAGGTTCTTTATGGTCTTCATGTGTCTAGTACTATCAGTCTTTAGTACTATTGACGAATACGAAAAAGATGCTGGTTTACTGCTTTACTATATGGAACTTGTTGTTTTAATATGGTTCAGCGGGGAATTCTGTTTTCGGTAATTACTAATTCATTCAAAAGTGTTTTTTTCCCCTCCGAGCGTAAAGCGTCAACTTTAGCCCCGCTGCGCTAAACGAAGTTGCCGCTTTCCGCCTTCGTCGGGGAAAAAATAGTATACACTCCTCGGGAAGTAAATAAGAAAGCCTCAGATCACATGTTTGTTGACTTCGGCTTCGCCTCTGCCAACAATTACATGTGATCTGAGACATTGCTTACTTTACTTCCGTAGGGGTATAATATACTATTATTTAAAATAATATTTTCGAGTCTTCTATGAAAATATGTTTGTGTATATTATGTTTTAAAATTTTTTTTCAGAAATTAGCTTTGTTATTAAATTTTTAGGGGTCACTCCAAATTTAAAAAATTTCATAAGCACAGAAAAATTAAGTAATCAATACAACTATGTTTCCAAAAAAATTCTAGAATTAAAAATTATGATCTGTATAAAAAAATTACTGCAAACATTAAAAAATTACAATTTCCATTAAAATTGTAATTCATTAAAATTATAATAGTTCGAAATGTATCTTTGGTAAGCAAAAGTTTCTAAGGAACATGTTCATTGAAAAAATACAAACAATGAAGCCAGATTGTGGAATTTTTTTACCCCTTCCCAAAGGGTATTATTATTTTATAATAAATTTAATAAAATAATATTAATTATCCATAACTTTAAAATTTTTTTCGGGTCTAGTTTTTCCGGTCTATTTTTTCCGATTACCTTCCCAAGCACCACACGCACTCTGAAAATCCCATAGATCTGGCAGCACAGGCTGCAAAGTACAATAATGTCACATTCAGAATACCAAATTTTTCTACTTCCTATGAATACGCATTTGTAGTATTAGTTATACGACTCTGGCAAGAACGGCTATCTAAGATCATAATTGTACGAAGCCTGAAATCATTTATAAAGCATTCAATTCATTTTAATTATTTTGGAATAGAAGGAAAATGATGAATTTTAGTAGTAATGATAATAATATTATAGTTTTTGGCTACAAATTTAATCAATTTTTATTTTGAAGCTGAAAATTTTGTTCAACTTACACCTGACGGAGGTTTTAAGGTAAAAAGCTAACGAGTACATTTTACACGAGCAAAAATATAATTTTAAATAAGGTAATAATAATTAGTATTTCTAGAAAATTTTACTTAAAATTGGTTAATTTTTTAATTTAAAAATCTGACAATTGTTTTAGATCAAAATGTTATTGAGATTTTTAAACAGCAATATTTTTTTAACGCGTCATTCGATTTTAATTTGTCAGACATTAAACCCAGCTTTTCAAGCACAAACCTGTTTATACGTATAGTAATTATAGTCAATTAGTCAAAGAAATTTAAAAGTTATCCTAAGAAAACTTTAAAAAAATTTTTTTGTTTTCGTTTATTTGAGAATCATCGAAAAGCTAGACCGATTGACTTCAAAATTAGATCGCAATTAAAAACAAATAAGAAAAGACCATTCGGCAGTCGAAATGGAAGTAGATTTCATCATAAATAGAAAAAAATAATTGATTTTTAGTAAACCGGCGATTAAAAGCTTATTTCACCCTAACTCCGTTATTTGTTTACTTACTGCTGGTGTACAGTAAAGAAAAAAAACAAAAAAAACGACTGCAATAGCAAATTTCATAATTGGCATAGCGGAATAGGACATAATTTTGGGACTACACATATGATATGGTACTCAAATTGAAGCTTATTTAAAGAGCTTTCATATGCACTTTACAGAAATTCGATAAATTATCCCATTCAAAAGTTATTTAAGTACGAAAATGAAGAAATGGAAATTTTTATGGTTTTTCATGATTTTGAAAATTTTGAAATCATGGCATTTCTAAATTACTTGACCGATTAAGCTCATCTTCGAACTTGACCTCGGTATCTATCTGTGGAATAAGTATGTTGAGTTTGATAAAGATCCATAGTAAAATGGCGACGCTATCGTGGTGACAAGCCGCGTTATATCGTATATATATACATACATACATATATAAACTTTTGAACCATATGTATTTTCTGACTCAACTCGTCGAGTTAAGTCGGAATATAGCAAAATTTTTCAAAAGTTTCGTCATGAAGACCATTGCAATAGTTAGATTTCTATGAAATTATTTTACAGTGAATTTATGGATTAGCATAACTATTATAGATTTAACGTCCAAAGTTTGAGTGTGTTGAGTTCCATTAATATACGTTATGAATTGTAAACACTATCGTCGGATAAGCCGCGTTATATCGTATAAATATATAAATACACACTTATTAATACGTACATAAATTTTTCAACTAATGGTATTTTCTGAACAAGTTCGACGAGCTAAGTCAGAAAATAGCAAAATTTTTCAAAAGTTACGACACAAGGACAAATGCAACAGTTAAATTACCATTAAATCTACTAAAAATCAATTTTTCACAATTTTTTAAGTCATGAGCGATCTATAAAAATTTTCTATTGACATGATTTTTGTAGAAGACTCTCAAAACATTGTAAACTCACATTATTAATAATAATAATAATAATAATACACATTTCTTTTGTTAAAGGCTCTGGTCATCAGGATGTCGTTCCCGTTACCAAACAATAATGGGCCGACTAAAATTTCTTCGGCGACCTTTTTGCATTATAGGCAAGTTGTTTTTTTTAATTTTTTTTTTCTCTTTTTCATTCTCATTTTAACTTGTCCAAAAAGTCGTTTGGCTTTCTTCAAGAAAAAGAAAATAAATATTTATTAAATTTTTTACTTAGACGTCATTACCATTATGGCCAGTATAGTAGTTCTGGCAATGAGAAGCAGCGGTCAAGTTTTTGCAGCGAGCGCTTTTCGTGGTCTTCGATTTTTTCAGATATTACGAATGGTTCGCATGGACCGTCGTGGAGGATCATGGAAATTACTTGGCAGCGTTGTCTATGCCCACCGTCAAGTAATGTTATAATTTCACTACGCCTAGTTTAAGTGAATTACAACTGATTAATTTAATAATTAATAATATTTCATGAATCTTAATTAGGAACTTTTTACAACTTTATATATTGGCTTCCTTGGACTAATATCTGCAAGTTTCCTAGTTTACTTAGCTGAGCGTGATGATGAGCACTTCAATAACTACGCAAAGGCACTCTGGTGGGGAGTGGTAAGGAATATCTTAACTTGATAGAAATTGATTTTCAAAGTTTCAGAGTTTCTATGTTACTATACAAGAACAGTTCATTTAAAATCATCAGTTTCTTGAATAAATAACACTTGAGTTGGAAACCAGCCAATTGTCAACATTATTATCGTTATCATCTATATTTTGGTATCTTCTGATGAAACTTCGGGATCATTTCGACAAAAAATTTTTTTGGCTTAAATGTAACGTATTGTTTGCAAGATTCCATTTAAATATCCAGAGTTATCCATTATCTTAATAGCTAGTTTTTAAAGTCGAAATGAAATTTTATCCGGGATAAAAATATGTACAGGGTTGAAAAACTGGTCCTGAAAACAGCTTTCTAAAAAATAAACGTTTAAGAGATTGGAAGAAAATCAACTCCGAAAATAATGAACACTTGAATAAGCGCGTTTACATATAATACTTGATATTGTAAAGTATTTAGTGAATATAATATTATATCATGAAAACAACAATATGTTTCCGCAATAATAGTGTACAAATAAGTACTGCCAAGTTTTTTCATAACACGAATATTAATGTACTGTATTTACAGTTCACAATTGTATTAATTTTGCTGAAGCATATTCACTTTAAAATCATTACCGTAATCATTCAAGTTTGGTTCTATGATAAAATTCTTTTTGCGAAATAAAATGCATTTTATAAGAATAAATAAAAAATTTACCCATTTTATGATTATCCATAAAAAAGTTATAATTGTAATTAATTATAACTACAAACATATACTCTATAAAATTTAAGGGAATTCTATTTCTATTTCAAACAATGTTAAGCACAATTATTGTAATATAATTAATAATATTTGAAAACAAGAAATACTATTGAATTAAAATGATATAAATGACTATATACCAATTTATTTTTTGGAAAAATTAAACTGTTCTATCGTTTCTGCACATTTCAAACAATTTTACACGCTTCATGTGCAAAGCGTTTAAGAATTTGTTCTACACAAAGAGCCCTGATTGCCATGCTTTGATTAAAAGTAGTTTGATTTCAGTAGTTACCGTTAACTTGACATCAAGTTTGCCGTAAATTCTTACAGTACAACAGTTGTAAACAAATTGACTAAAATATACAGACCCAATTTGAATACAAGTAAACACCGAACTTTTGGTTAAATTGTACTACAATTTTACTACAACTTGAATAAAATACTTGTACTGCAAGTTTTGACGTCAAATTGCAGTGTAACTTGTAGACAACTTAAGTAAAAACGTTTGGTTTGCAACTTTTTTCATCAAGTTGGCTACAAATTTCGGCAGTAGATTGAATAAAAGTTTGAGTTAAGGTGGCTATCAGGGAGAAAAATAATGTCAGAACGAGAATACAGATCCCTGTTTTTGCTATACGCTGTAATATATATACTATACCGTCGTCGGTAATATAATTTTCCCGTCGATTTAGCAATTCACGTGGCTAATATTTACCAATCTCTAATTCCCAGTCCCTGACGGGTAGCTAATGTCGCTCCACAGGCCCTATTCCGCGATACTCAAGAGGAAAGTGAATAATACCCACCTTGCTCCCACCTACTCGGCTGTGGTCACCTACTACCACCTTTTGGCTGAAGGCCTCTAGGTGGAGAATCGCCTTTTCCCCGTGGATAAAATGTTCACTTACCTGCGTCGTAGTACGCACCAGGTTAGAGTAGACCTTTTTGAATTTCTTGGCTAGAAGTCTCCGGTCGAGAAATTCACCCACAGAAAGGTTGACTACCGGGGTTTTCCCGACGGAACTTAACGGTCATCTAAACTCACGTCGACACGAGAAGTTTTTTCCTCGGGGCCCTTTATCAAGGTTTGCGCAAGCTCGCCGATTTTTCTAAATTTTTCGTTATCGAAAAATATTTTCGTCGTGTCGCTCGAAATTATTCTAAGCCTCAATCGCTATTCTTTCATTTTCTTTCCATTTGGTCGGCCAACTTCTAAGTATTTTAATTTATTTAAAAATTATTTTCCTTTTCCTCACTAATTTCGCTCGGGATTTAGAATAATTTTCACACTCTTTATACTAAAATCATAACTTACAATAATTTTAATCGTCAAAATAATATAATAATAATAATAATAACAGAAAAAATAGTAATCTAGGAATAATAATATGATGATAATGAAGCTGATAATAATAATAGTAACACTTCAAATAATTAAATCGCCGTGACATGGGCAATCAGACGCGGTCGCGGTAGTGATAGCTCGCGTCCGTCGCTCGATCGCTCGTTGCGTCGGTGAGTCCCATGGTGCTAGCTCTTGCTGCTCTCATCCTCGCTTCTACTACCTTCTTCACAGTATGTTTGAGTTAAACTAATTAACCTTTAAATCAGATAGCCGGATTATTATTTTAAGGAAATGCCATTCGATGTTACGTTGGATAACTATTTTGACTATATTTTTCTCTTCGTATTATACTTTCAACTGGTCAGAGTTAAACAATTTTCTAAACTTAAATTTTTGCCAATTTGCTTTTTATTTTAACAAACTAAAATACTATTTATATTAGTTTCTGAGATTCTGTTGAAAAATTAAATATAAAAAAAAGATTATTTGAGTAAAAAAATTAAGTATTATTCTTATTTTTCATACTAAGTCTATTGACATTAATTTGCAGATTACATTATGCACTGTTGGCTATGGCGATGCAGTCCCCAAAACTTGGCAAGGAAAAATTATAGCATCTTTTTGTGCACTATTAGGGATTTCATTTTTTGCATTACCTGCTGTAAGTTTGTTTCCTTTTTTAGTCCTGTTTTTTTACAATAAGATTAAGAATATCGGAAATTTAATCAATGAAGCTATTGTGTTGATTTTTTATTAGGGCATTCTTGGCTCGGGTTTTGCTCTTAAAGTACAACAGCAGCAACGTCAGAAGCATATGATCAGACGACGACAACCGGCTGCTACTCTTATTCAAGCTCTTTGGAGATGTTATGCGGCTGATGAACACAGTGTAAGTGTAGCCACTTGGAAAATTCATCAAGTGATATTACCGTCTAGTCCACCTGGGTAAGTAAACATAGACTTTTCATATTTTTTTCTTTTCTTGTTTTAAAGTATCTTTCGTAGAAATTAAACTACATTATACTTGATACTCCTACGACGTAACTTTGAAAACTTTACTTCTTCCGTTTCAGCTATAGTCGAATTATTTGGAAAACAACCTTATACCTAAACATCTATAGCCAATCGTTGCATGACTACAGATCCTATACAAAAATATTCTTATAAAAAAATACTTTACCTTTAACCTATGCGAAAAAATTAAAAAACCGTGACCCATTCTCTATTAGGTACTAACTTGATCATACAGTTATTTGGCGATTTAGAATAAACAAAAATATTTTTGATGGACAAAATCATTTTAACTTTAATGAGCGGCTAAAAAATGGATTTCGTTCTATTTATTTGGCTTTATTTTCTATTTGTAACGACGATTGGAGGATTATTTGAGGAGCTGATTTTCAAAAGGGTATTTTTTCATATTTTAAAATACCAGTTTTTTGAACTTTTAAATCCTAATTACTTTGAGAATTATGAACATTTATAAATGAAAATCGAATTGCAGCTTCATAACCGATTGCACTTCATAGCTAAATTAAAAAAAGTTCAATACAAATATTTATAATTGAAGATAACTAGTTTTTTGTCTCGATTAATCAAAAATCAAAAGATACTCTTTTGAAAATAAGCTCCTCATTTAGGGGAGGGGGGGGCAAAATGGGGTACTTAAGCAATCGTTATGATTTTAAGGACTTAAATACGCTGATTTTTCTCGTTTTCAGTCGTAATTAAAGGAAAATAATCAAATTTCAAGTTGCCGTAGAAAAAAAAAATTTTTTTTTTTGCGGGCAAAATGGGGTACTCCCTGAAAGAGTGAAAAAAAATTTCTTCATCCGAAAATGAAATATCGTTAAAAAATAACATTTTCTTATCGATAAGTCTACGAAAGAACCCAAAGAGAGGAACAAATCACCCAAAAAGAGACATTGTTAGTTGAAGCATATATTCCTAACAAAATTGAGGTATAGTAAAAAAAAATTTAAAACTTTGTCGTAATTTTTGACGAGTTTCGCTTGA